CCCCTGGGCAGCGCTCTTTGGGGAGGTGGCCGGCGGTCAGGATGGCCTCACTCAGGCACGGGGGCCTCGGCCGGATGGCCGGGCGGTGAGGGCCTCGCTGCACGGGCTTCTGCTCTTCCTGCCCTGGTGGAAGGTTCTGAGCAGCAGGAGAGGACAAACTTTTCAGACGTCTGCTTGCGTCGCCGTTGCTAACGTGCCGTTTGTCCGAGCAAATCTCACGGGCGAGGTCAGGTTTGAAGACGCGAGCTCCACCTGCAGCAGGAAGAGAAAGTCACACTGAACCCGGCTTGCCTCTGGGCTTGGGAGGGACACACGGTCACTGTGTAAAACACCGAGGTAACTTGAGGGTAGACCAATGAAACATCCCAACCTGAAGTCACACGTGCAAAAAAAAAAACCATTGAAAACAGCAGACGGTTGTGCAGACATTTCAAGAGAAAGTGTTCTGTTTCCATGACTAGTTCTAAGTGATTGCAGCAAGTTTGTTAGACCGATAAGGAAAGCATCAAAAAGCCTTTTTATTTTTTAAAGTACGTTCTCCACGGCCTGGTCAGAAGCCGTGTCAGAAACCGCAGCAGGCAAAGCGGAAGTGGCTGTCACTAAGCGCTTCAGAGGCGGTCCTGAAGCACACGCAGCCTCCTCAGCTCCCACCTCTCCTCTCACTGTAGCTGCTCTTAAATCCCCCCGCAAAAGTCCTTTTTCAAAACCTCTGCTCACCCCGCCAGCAGCCTCAGTCTGCAGCTCGGTCCCCTGACCCTCCTTCTTTTCTTGTGAATCTGGCCACCAGCTCCTCCCTCGAATGCTTGCAGTGGAAAGGAAGCTGGAGGTAAAGCCGGGCGCCCCCCTCCGGGGCCGCGGGGTGGACGCAACGTTGGCAAACTGGGGCTCTCGTCCTTGTTCCCAAAGGCCCCCCAGCGGCCTCCGTGATGTGTTACGCAGATGCGGACTCATCACGGCGCCGCTCCAGAGCTCAGTGAGCGAGACGTGGGGGTGGAGGGCGAGGACACGCATGTCCTGCCGCACGGCGCTCTGGCTCTGCACGGGACAGTCACCCTCGAAGGCAGCCATCGAAATAAACGTGTCACGTCCATCACGATAAGTGCTTCGTTCGGTATTGATTGATCTGTTGGGACAAAAATAAGGTACATTCGGGTAGCAGAATTTATAATTCTCTATTCATGAAAATCAATGTAGTATTTTTCCATTGGACGGAATAAAACGACATATTAGTTCTGAACTTGGAATTCCTGAAACCTCGATCTGAGTAATAATATCAAAACCGTCACACTGGATCTGGTTCTGAAAAAACCTAGGAATCAATCAGCTGTGATTCATGAAGTGGCTTTACAAAAATGGATGTGTTTTCTTTGAGGGGGATTTCAGATTTTTGTATTTCTTACGAATCCCCTTGCGATTGGTTTCCTGAGCATAAAAACGAGCTCTGCGTTCTAAATACAAAAAGCAAAGCAGACCTCCTGCCTCAACAAGACACAAAAAAGGGAATTAATAAGGAATGAGTCAAAGTAATAAAAAATGTATAACTTTTGTATCAGGAACTTAGACTTTTAATCATTAACCTTCTAGGAAAGAGAGACCTCGCATACCCCCACTCCTCACTCTGGGCCTTTTCTCTTCTTTTACATATTTTTCTAATATGAGAGTTTCCCTCACCTAATTTTTAGAGACATCTTTTTAATTTCAGACAGAGTCCTTCCTGGCGAGGGGCTCAGGAAGGAGGCATTAGGGTTGATAATTAACTTCACTCATATACAGTTTCATCTCTAAACGTGTCTGGCGATTTCTTCCCTTTAAGAAAACAATACTATTTTTTGGTATAATGGTTTGGAAAACAACATACTTAAAAATATAAAACATATGATTTTAGGCTTAAAATGGTACTAAAATCCAGAAAAACAGGGCCCGGCCTTACCTTCGATGTTCGTCGGCTAGTTTACTAAATCTGTCATTTCACCGATGACAGAGCTGATGTGTTAGCGACACTGTTTATTCGACAACGGCGAATGTCCGTCATGTAATCATGGGTCCGGGGATTAAGTCTTAAAACTCCTCAATAGAAACAGAATTCGCTGTCATCCATTAAGACTGTGATTATTTTTAATATAAATGACTTTTTACCGTCAGAAATGCTACGCGATCTCGACGGTTGCGAGCGGCTGTGCTCAGCAGGCCGGCCTCACGCAGAGCCGGCTCCGGCCGCACGGAGGCCCGGAGAATTTCTGATTGCGTTTGGCTGTAACTTTTTATTCGGGGTAACGGGAGACCCCGAAATAGTTCCTGCTGTAGGGCGCTTGGGTCTGGAAGAGGTTTGCGATTTTAACGTGCAGGTGATACAGCAGTTACCTGAACAGGTTGTAATTACAAATCTAATGCAGCAGACGCAGCCACGCCGAGGGTTGTTCCTGAACATTCTCTCAGAGCGGGGCCGCGGCGGCCGCTGCCGAGCGCCCTGTCCTGAGTGAGGTGACCGCGCCGCCAACGCTTCCCGCCATGGCCGTGTCTTACTTGCTGCGCGTATGTCGTCCGCGGATTTAAGTGCTTTTCTGCGCGTGTAATTGTCTGCAGTGCTTATTCTGGAAGCACTTCTGTGGCCACCTGTTACTGGGACTTTACACTTGGAGGCATCGTTGGGGGAGCTCCCGCCGTGTTCAGAACGTTCCAGGCTGTCGACAAGTCCCGAGGTCTCGGGCGTCGAAGGAAGCGCGGAGCAGCAGGTGGCCCTGTCCCCCGTGTGTCCCCCGCGCGTGCTCTGGCTGTGCCGGGCCCTAGGGAGACCGAGGCGAGGTCAGCCTTGGAAACCGGGGCGGATTTCAGTGGGTTTCGACCGACTTCAGGGTCCAGGGCAGGAACAGACTCGGGGTGGGAGTAGGCGCCCCACTCTGGGGCCGACGCCGGGTGCGGGTCTGAGGTCCGCAGACGATCAGCGCCAGCTCCCCGCTCCCGGCCCGGCGGACCCGCTTGTCCCTTAGCCCTCCGGTCCCCAAGCCACCACACCGACCAGGACGCACGTGGCCGACCGTGAGTCTCCCTCCCAAGCACGTGGGTCACTGGCCTCTGGGTCTCTGCTCTCGGTCTGGCCCAGACAGCGGAGCAGGTCACTGCGTTGCCTCCTGGTCTCCCAGTGACAAACCCGCTTGACACCCTACAGAGTGGGTAACAGGAGAGGGAGTGGGCCACAGGGACGAGGCGTAGAGCGGGGCGACGCTGGCCGCAGATCCAGTGGTGTGTCCTGCAGCCGTGGGACAGCTGACAGCTGCGCCCCCCGGTGCCCACGCTGAGCCCCAGGAGCTCCGCACACCGTCTCGTCACGGTCACCGTTCCCTCCGCCCCGTGCTCACTCCATGCCCTGTTTCTGCTAACGGCCGTCTCCCTCCAGGGCTGGAGATTTCTATTTCCGTTATCATCTCTTCCCCTTCCCCTTTCCCCGATACCCGGTGGTTTTTCCAACAGGAAGAATCAGGGTGTCATCGCGTGTGCCACGGCATCCCTAACATTTCTCCCTCATGGGCACTGAGACGAGGTCGGGCGTGTCCAGAACCCAGGCCACATCTGGCCGCGCTGGCCCCTCCCTCCATCCTGACACCGGCCCCTCCCTCCACCCGGCCGCCGCGCCCCGCGCCCCGACTGCCCGCTCCCCTCTTGCATCCACTCCCACCTCCCTCCCCTCGCCAGGCCGCCGGCCTCGCGGGCACCGTGGCTCCGCAGCCAGACTGCGGCTCCCAGGCCTTTGCACACTTACCCCCATCTCCCGCGTCCGCCTCGTGTGTCCGCACCAGTGAGCGCTGATTAGTGTCTGCTCCGCCTCACCGCCCCGGCCCCCCCCTGCACCTGTGCTCCCCGCCCCGTCTCCTCACTGCCTCCCCCACAGACCCTCCCCGGCTCCCAGGACTGTTGAAAGGGCACCCTCATGACCGCATCTAAACAGAGTCCGTTTTCTTCTCTGGACTCAACGTTTTCGTCCCCGGTGTCCTTGCTTCCGAGCTGATCATGTGTGCACGTCACTCCGTGTGTCTGGGGGTCCGGGGCCAGCCTCCTGGCATCCCGAGCTGCTGTCCCCACACTCAGGTGATTGTCACGTCGCATCACCTCTGCTTCCGAAATCCCCGCTGCCACCTCCCCCGTCCAGACCCTCAGAGCTCGCTGGGCCTGGCCACGGACCGTCCTCACGCTAAGGAACAGGCTCACGTTTCCGTATTAAAAATATTCATTTTAGTTCCCATGCTGCACACGTGAAACTAATATAAAATAACATCGAATGTCAACCCTAATTGAAAAATAAAAAATAAATAAAAAACATATAAAAATTTCATATGGCTGTAAAATTAATGCATCTACAGACATTTTGAAAAGGTGCTTAAAAAGCCATGCATTAGCCACCTACCTGACCCCAGCGTTAGCATGTCGACATGTGACCGGGCACATTCCATAGTGTGGCTGCGTCTCATTAAATATTGTCTCTTACTGATGATGTATGTTATGTGTAATCCTTGACATTGCACATAATCACATGGCAAATAGAACCCTAAGTAAATCTTGGCATGTGTTTGTAATTACTACTTTAGAATAAATTCCTAGAATGTTTTTGCTGGGTCAAATGCTTAAAATATTTTTATGCATCTTAATGTAAATCTTTCTAGAAGACAAAGCTGATCATTTCACTTGCCCACTGTAAAAAAAAAAAACATGCGCAGAATAAAAATAACTCGTTAGCATGGCACTCGAAGCTGCCGCGCGGGTCCCTTTTCTTGGAAGTACTAGAAAAGTGTCGCAGAAAAATCGAAAGCCTGAAAAGAAGTTTGCCGGAATCCTAGACACCAATGATAACTACAGCCGAAAATTCGAATATA